TAGGATGGGGGGGGGGTGGCATGGTTTTGGGGTGTCACCAGGGTGTGGGTGGGGGTTCCCTCACCTGGGCACGCTTGTGTGTCATGTTCCGGCTTTTCTGCAGCTTGCTGAGGAAGAGGATGGCCCCTCGCGTGCCGCGGGGAGACAGGGGCTTCTTGCTGACCTCCTCTGCCTCTGCACAGAGGGGACACGGCCATGCTGGTGGGACCCACCCTACAAAGTGGGGGCACCCAGCCAGCTCTGCTGGGGCTTGGGATGGAAAAAAAAAACCCTCCAAAATCTCGCACCTGGAGAGGTTTTGAAAGCTTCATAAAATTGGCTGAGGTAGGTGATGAGCCCCAGGCGGTCGGGCTCTGCCATGGTGGCCATCTCGGCACTGGAGAGGACGGGCTGGATGCCCAGCTCCTGCTCCGCCGTGTCCAGCATCATCTGGTGGGTCTGGATGGGGTCCTGGGGGTCTACAGAATCAAAGTCCCTGTGGGGAGACACGGGTGCTATCAAGGTGGGTTCTGCAGGGTGGGGGGGTCCCAGGGGGGTCCCAGGCACTCACACCAGGTCGGGGCGAAAGCGGTGGATGAGGGCGCAGAGGGCCAGGCCGCTGGTCCAGGAGGAGGTGAAGTCGGTGACTGCCACGCCACGGTACCCGGCTGTGCTGGCCTGGCACCAGCTCAGCAGCTCCTCGTAGGCATCTCCAGACACCGCTGGGGAGGCAGCACACGTGTCCCCATCCCAAAGAGGCAGGGGACAGCCACCCCCCATCCCGCTCCCTCCCACCAGTGCTTTAGGGGGGACGGGGTCCCATGGGAGTGACGCGAGACCTCCCCCATGCAACCACCCCCCCGCAAAAGTCTCAAAAAATGGTTTGATAAAGCCTCTGTTAATATTTCACAGCTCATCATCAGTGTGGGCCAGGAGGAGGGGGACAGTTTCCCCCCAAAAAGGCATCTGGGGGGCTGTGTCCCCGTGGGGGCCGTGGGCAGATGGAATGCAAACCAGTGGTGCCACTGGGATGGAAACGCAGCTGCTGCTGGGAGGAGCATGGCCAGCTGGACACCGGCCAGGGCTTGAGAGAAGAAGGATGGGGAGGAAAATCAGGGCAGGAGCCGTGCTGGTATGGGCTGCTGGGAGGAACGGGGGGTCCTGGTGCTGGGGGACTGGGGCAGGATCAGCTGCTCCTACCGGTGCTGAGGCGGTTGTCGCTCTTCCTCTTGTGGTCCATCTCCACCGTGCCCATGAGATAGAGGTCCCGGACCTGCCAATGGGTACGTGTTGGTGGCGGGTCACCACTGGCAGAGCCAGTGGCACCACGCAGGGAGCTGACCCAGCAAAGTGGGGGGACACCCAGACCCCCTCCACGCCTCCCCAGAACCACCCACATCCACGACAGGCAATGCATTAAATGTCCTGGGGACCAACAGCTTCAGCCTCACACCCTTTGGGGACAGAGGACCATGTGCACTGGTGCCCCCCTGACTGCTGGGGAGGCTGGGCAGGATCTGGGCCGGGTACCTGGCTGGCTTTGATGGCCTGCAGGTTGATGTTGGGGTAGCGCGTGGCTGGGTCGATGCTGTACTGGCTGATATTCTTGTTGGTGTTGTCCGGGGAGGTCTGCGAGAGGTGCTGGTAGATGCTCTCCCTGTGTGCAAGGGACAGGGCTGGGCTCAGTGCCACCATCCTTGCCCACTCTGGAACCGGTCCAGCAGGACGGGGACACTCACCTCTCGGCCAGCACCTCCAGCGGGGGGGTCCCGGCCGCCCACCGCCGCACCATCCACGCTGCGTCAAAGGCGGCGAGGAAGCCCCTGGCCACGCCGGTGCCCAGTGGCCAGAAAGGCTGCAAAGGGAAAGGCAGAGAGGGATGGAGCTGGAGCCGCGCGGCCGGTCGGGGCGGCTGGGAGGAGGCTGGGAGCTGCCAGGCTTGGCCGGGGATGAAAGCGGGGAGCGGCGGCGGGACGCGCAGGGAGAGGATGGGCAGCTGTCTCCTCCCCGGCCAGGACAGCTGCCTGTTGGGGGCAGCTGGGCTGCTCCTCCAGCCTGAACCCCGACCTCCAGTGGGGCCGAGGAAGGGGATAACCCCACCAAACCATCCCGCTCCTGGGCCTCGGGGAGCCTGGCCTCAGGGGTGGGGTGCACCGAGTAGTCAGGGCAAGAAGCACGTAGGGAGTGGGAATATATTGCAGCCAACAGATCTGGCAGGGAGAGGGGAAACAGAGGCACACAGCGGTGCTGCAACGGGGACCCTCACCTCCACCAAGCAGTCTCCCACCAGCCCGAGGAGCAGACGGGCCCCGTTGTGCTCCCGCACCAGCGCCGCGTTCTCCGAGCGTGTCATGCAGGTGAAGTCAAACATGTCGACGTCCGGCAGGTTCCGGTGGTTGAGGGCGAATTCCAGTTGGGGCAGGCGGTAGTTGGTGGAGAAGTTGGCGGCTTCTTTGGCATAGCTGAGGAGAGCACTGCGGTTCACGTTCTCCGGGGACAGGAGGCTCTCGATGTCCGCTTTGTCCTGCGGGGATGGGGTGAAGCTGGCTGGGATGCGGGAGGTGGTGTTTGCCCTCCCCAGCCTGGGTGCAGCCAGCTCTGGGGTGAAGCCATGTCACTGGCCTTGGGGCTTTGAAGCCCCCAAAAGGATTTTTCCCCCAGCACAGGTAACAGCTGCCGAAGCCCCCACCACCCCAGAGGTACACGGTCAAACCAGCACCCGTGATTTGGATCCCACCCTCTGGGCTTTCAGCCACCCATTGCTATGGGATGCCGGGGCCAGATCCTGCCCCCCTCACCTGGAGGATGACCCCCTTCTTGAGCAGGCTCTGCTTCTTGGCCGTCATGACAAAATAGTGAGTGTCGTCCTTGTAGTAGACGATGTTTTCCAGGTCGATGCCTGGTGATGGGGAAGGAGCTGAGCTGAGCCCCAGGGCAGAGCCACGGGGAGCCCCCGCACTGGGCTCAGCCACCAAATGTCCCCTGCAGTGAGGTACCGTGCGAGGACATGCACCCCATAATGCAGAGGACATCCCAGGGCTGAGCCTCCAGTTGTAGCAGGAAGGGACAGGGACCCCCAGCACCCCCCACCCCGTGTCAGGGCTGGGACCACCAACCCGTTTTGTTGTAGAGGTTTTGGAAGAACTTCTGGTTGTAAATTCGGGCCACGCCACTGATCTCAGCCACCTCCACCTCAGCCCGGCTGTGGTGGTTGATGAAGTTGGTGGTGATGCCGATGGCCAACTTCCCCCGCGTCTCCTTCCGCTTGAACCCTGCAGGATGGGAGAAGCGTGAGCCCCCATCTGGCCCCCCCATACCAGCCCTGGGGGTGCAGAGACCCACTGCTGTCACCTTCGGGGACAAATTTGCCGCCGCCGGCTGAGATGAGGACGTCAAACTCGTAGTGGCTGAGGGGAGAGGAGCTGGGCTGCAGCACAGCCCGCCAGCCGCCTGCAGGGAGAGGGACGGTCACGAGTGTGCTGGGTCTCAGCTGGGACCTGCTCCGGGGTGGGGGAAGAGGGTTGTATCTCATTCCCCCCTTCCCCCAGGCAGGAGTTGGGCTAGCAGAGGGACTGGGGGGCACAGAGTGTCCCCACAGTGATACCATACCGTGTCCACCCGCCTTGCCCGCAGGGGGGACGAGGCCCTTGAACTGCACGTTGATGTGCACCTCCACCCCCAGCAGCAGAGCCACCTTCAGCAGGATCAGCTGGAGCTGCCGGATACCTGGGAGGGGAGAGGGAGGCACTCAGGGCTGCACCCCCCAGCCTCTGGGCTCCCCACAGAGTGGGGGACCCCAGGGGTGCAGAGCTTGGCCCCCTCCCAAACTCACTGATGTGGTCCAGTGTGCCAGTGCAGAAGCGCCCATAAAATTTCTTGGCACCCAGCGCCCGCAGGTCGTGGATGGTGAAGGGCCAGAGGTGCAGGACGTTGTTGCGGGAGAAGGAGTCCCTCTTCTCCACCAGCACCACGCGGGCGCCCAGCAGCACCAGCTCGATGGCCGCCCGCAGCCCGCAGGGGCCGGCCCCCACCACCAGGCACTGCAGAGGGGACAGGGGGTGTGAAGGGGACAGGCACCCCCCTCCAAGGGTTCCCCACAGGCAGCATCACCCCCCTTCCCCGGGGCAGGATCTGCCTCTCCCCACTCTTCTCCTTTTCCCCTGGGCTACAAGCACTGCTTCTCCTTGCAAAGTGGGGGGCCCTGTGGGGTGCCCCCCGCCTCCCCGGCTGCCTGAACCTTGCCTTCACATGGAGCAATGGCAGCAATTAAGGTGCTCAGTGAGATAAGGGACGCACGTCTCCTGCCTGCTGCAGCCCGGGGACAGGGAGATTTCACCAGCAACAGGATCCAAACCAGGATTCGGGTTTGATCTCCTGCCAGGCCCTCACAGGGCTGGGAGGGGGATGATTGGGCACCAACAGTAGGGACAAGAACCATCAGCTCTGGGACAGGGGGACAGAAATAGGGTCCCCCAGCCCCACGGGGACATCCTGCCCCAGCAGCATGCTCCTGTCTCCCAGAAAGGGCTCGGCACGTCCCTCTGCCCCTTTGCAGTCCTCTCCCCTCCCGGGATGTCCCCAGCAAGCAGCAGCCAGGAGGAGGAAGGACGCTGCTGGCTGCATGGAACCGAGGTGGCATCACACCATGGGGAGGGGAGTGGCACTAATTAACACCCTGTCCCATTAAACCCCATCAACCTGCCACCTGGCACATCCTGCATCCTCCCGGGGTGGGGGCCAGGGTGCCCCAAAGGATGCTCTCACTCTGGGAACAAGGACACAGGGCAAGGAGGGACCCAAACCCTGTGCCCAGGGATCCCTGGTACCTTGGTGCTGGCACAAGCTGTGCCCTGGTCGTAGTCCTTGTGCCCAGCTTTCTTATCCAGCTTGCTCCACAGGGCCTTGGCACTCCAGTAGTTGAGGGCAGCCTTGAGGCCGTGGTAGAGCTGGAGGCCTCTGCCCTGCAGCCCCAGGTGCTGGCACAGCTCCCCGAAGCAGCTCAGCACCTCCCGGCACTCCCCGGCACGCAGGAACCTCTCGAAGATGGCATGGGCCGGGTTGCCCGGCTCGTCAGCCGGCACACTCATCCTGCTTCACCCAGCAGCCTGGCAAGGGACAGCAGAGATAAGACGGGGGGACAGGACCCTCCTGCACCCCCATCCTCAAACCCATCCGATACCAGACCTGGTGTCCGGGCACGAGGTTTCCCAGCCTGAGGTGTGGTTGGGTGATGGTGCTACCGGAATCAGGGCCCTTTCCCGCAGCAGCTGGCGGAGACTTCCCTGGGTGCTGCACCCAGTGAGCCACAGTGTCACCCTGCCGCGGTGACGTCAGGGGAGGGGACGGGGAGGGCTGTGGTGGCAGCAAGTGGCTTCCTCTGTGTGTGTACCTGCAGTAGCTGAGAGCAGAGAGCAGTGTTTTGAAGCAAAGATACGACTTCCTTCCTCTTCGCCCTTGGCCTTGTTGGGGGAGGGACAGGGAAGGGGGTCCTGGCTGCAGGGACAAACCTCAGCTGCCCCAAAAAGCCAGCAAGACCTGGGGCAGGAGGGAGCAGGATTGGACCCATCCCACCAGCCTGTTTTTTGCCACCAGAGTGGGGCGATTTCCCCCCCCACCTCCGCCTCTACCACCCCTGAAGCGGGGAGGAAGCAGATTAGCACAGAGGAAGCAGCACTGGGGAAACCAAAAAAAGCTCAACCACTGTACGAAGGGCCCCATCACACCAGGGAACCTGCGGGAGGAGGGGTGCAGCACATTCCCCTGTGGTTACCCCAAAACCCTCCCACTCCTGGCAGCTCCCAGGGGACCAGCACTCCCTGCATCTGCCTCCCACTCCTGGCACTGTCCCCCCAGCACCGTCCCACGCCACGCTCTGTCTTGCCAGCCCCAGCACTAAAGCACAAAGCTTTGCCTTTTCCAGCTGTTGTCTCCAAGCCCTGGGGCTGGGAAAGCCTCCCACAGCCCGGTGGAGACAAGGAGGAACCGGTGGAAAGGCTCCAGAACCCGGCGTGCTCCTACCTTTGAACCATCGCTCTTTGCCCTCTCACCGCTCGGTGTTACCGGCGGGCACCCGGCAGCACCCTGAAGGTGGCACCCAGCCCCACAGCGGGATGCCACAGGGGGAAAGATGCCATGTCCAAGCCAAGCTGCCCTCGGTGGGGTGGGAGAAAGGAGATGTTTAAGCCTGGGCTTTAATTTGGGCTGGAAAGCCCAGATTCTAGCTGGGTTTCAAGTTTGGTCTTGCTCCAGCAGCTTTCAGACACCCACACGTGCTTTGCAAGGCCACCTGGAGCCAGGAGGATGCAAAGCACTTCTGCAGGTCACCTTCCCTCCCCAGCACCACAGCCAGGAAATCCCGGCGGTTTAACCTCTTCCTTCCTGGGCAGACACAAGGATAAAGCATCCAGCCGGGCTGGAGAAGGAGCAGGCACCCGCCAGTCCCCAAAGCAGCAGCATGGGGACAGAGGGCATGACATAACTGATGAATCCACGGCAGGGCTGAGAGACCCGCGGGCAGATTTCTGCTCTTCCCCTGAGCGCTGCCAGTCCTCTGCTCCTGCCAGCGAGCCAGAATGAGCCTGGGGAAACTGAGGCAGCGCTGCAAACCTCACCAGAGAGCGCAGGCACGTTGTCCCACCAGCCGCCCACCCTCCTCCTGCGGGAGGTTGCCCAGGCCGCCATGCTGGCTGGCCGGGCTCCAGTGCCTCGTGCTGCCCAGGCACGATGGGTTTTGATGGGTTTTCCCCTGGGAGCTCACGTTACTGCACCGGCGCCTGCCAAAGCCACCACACAGCAGCCCCAGGGTGATGGGGCAAAGGCAGCTGCCCCAGCTGGAAGCACCCACTCCAGCATCACCAGTCCCTAGGTCTGTAAAAAAACATCTCAAGGCCTCAGTTCCCACCGGATGCGACGCCGGGGGGGAGCACACTGCCCAGGAAAGCTTTCCAGCCCCAGCACTTTGGCAGGCAGGCTCGGAGGAGGCAGAACAACAAGCCTTGTGTTACATCAAGTTTCCTAAAGAAACGACGCTTGTGCTGGGACACTGTGTCCCCCTTGACACTCTCAAACCCCTCTGGCAATTGCAAGCCCCCCACAAATACTCAATTCCTGCAGGTTTGATGCAAATAAACAGCTTTCAGCCCACAAAAGCCGGTGCCAGTGATAAGAGCGTGGTCCTGAGCCAGGCTGTCTCCAGCTCCACTCTCCCCATGAACGCCTTTTGCATTTCTTCCCTTAAAACTGCTCCTGTGAGCTGGAGGGAGGAGGGGGGGGGTTGCAGCCAGCCCTGACTCAGCTCACGGTGGCTCTGGTTGGGGTGGCTGCAGACACGCCTATGGGGACATCACCAGGGTCCAGCACATGTGGAGCATCCCTGGAGCAGGGACACCCCATCCCGCTTTGCAGGTCGGGGTCTCCCCCTGGCCTTGCACAGAGAGAAGCAGCGCCCTGGGAGGTGGCAGCGGGGAGCTGGCCCAGGGGTGCTGGGCAGCGGCGAGCTCACGTGTGCTCCAGGCACGTGGGAAAGGGGTGGGAAAGGACACAACTCCATATGGAGCTAATGAAAGCCAGGAGGATTTCCAGCAGCAGCAGCAGCAGATCCCCTTCCAGCTGAGCCTCTTGCTGTGCTGGCTCTCAGCATTTTTGGGATCCAGCTTGGAGACCACGGGGCCGGGCTGGACCCTGGGAAAGTCCTTCCAGCAACTTCAGGCATGGCCCCAAAGCTGGCGGGCAGGACGGAGCGTTTCTTGTGGCTGTCCAACAGCTTGGCCAAAGATTCTGCTTTTGACTGTTGGCTGAGGAGGGAAGGGGTGAAGGCAGCGGGTGCTGCTCTTCCCGGCGTTATCGTGCTCAGGAGAAACATCCCAGGCGTGGGACCGGGCAGAGAGATCGCCCTGGCCCAGTCCATGGACAGGAAAGGAAAGGAAAGGCCCACTGCCCTAATTTGGCTGGGTTTTAATCCTTGGAGGGAGGGGAAAAATCCCTGTCGGCTCTGGTTTGAACTGGGGATGTGGGTGCATGGGCACACCCTGGCCGAGCCCCCCCTTAGCAAGCCCCCAGCATGGAGATGTGGGGAGAAGGGCTGAGGAGAGGGGACAAACCTGCCACCAGCACTGGCGAGGGCAGAGGCTGGCAGCTGCAGGAATGGGGCGTCGCGGTGGAGGGGGTTCCCTTTCAAGGGTGAATGACCCCCCCATGGGAAGCACATGCCAAAATCTCCCTCAGAGGTGCAGGACCCAGCCGTGGCTCCTGCAGCCGCCGGCAGCAGAAGTTGGTGCTTCTCCAGGACATTTTGGGGTTGCCCTTTGCAGGGGATCCACAAACCCAGCCACGTCCCAGGGAGCCCTGAGCAGAGACAACACTTGGGGAGGGGGGGGGAGCAAACCTGCCCCCCGCTATTTTGGGTGCTCAGCTTTGCCCCCCTGCCCAGCACCAGCCTCATGGGGGGAGCTGCCTCTTGCAGCTTTATTTTGGCGTGAGGGGAAGTCTGCTCAGGGCCAGGTTTCACACCCCACATCCTTCTCCTCCTCCTGCTTCTCCCTCGTCCCCAGCCACAGCTGTCCCCGCAGGGCTGTCTCGGGGTACAGCAGTGAACCCCAGGTTTGGTTACCCAAACGTACCGGGGCCTTCATCCACACCAGACACCGGGGCTGGGGAACGTGTCTCCTGGCCTCAGCTCTGGGATGGAGCACAGCCCCCACACCCCCGGCCGGGGGTCAGCCTGGGGGGCCCGTGGAGCATCCCTCCCCCTGCACCGGGTGGAGAAAAGCGCTCAGCAAAGCTCAAACCTCCCCATCCCACTCGGCACTGGGAGCACTGGTGGTACTGGGAATGGAGTCGAGGAGGAGGAGTGGGAGCTGCTCTCTTCTCCCTTTGTCCCGAGGGGAGCAGAGCTCAGGGGCTGGAGGGGAAAAGCAGCGAGGATAGAGCGGGGGGGAGCCCGTTGCCCCCCGGGAGAGGCTCGGGGAGGGGGGGCAGCCAGAGACAAAGCGCTGCCCCGCCACCGAGCATCCCCGCTCTGCATCCCCGGGACACGCAGGACACGGGCACGGCGGGGCTGAACGCTCCCCCCCAGCACCCCAAAACCACCCCTCGGTTT